AAACCAACTTGACAATAAACTATTTTTAAAAAGTAGTAAGCATTAAAGTTATACTATTATTTTATTCCATTACTGTAATTACTATTTCAGGTAGAAAAAAACCCCAGCATATGAAAAGTTGTAGAGGCATGAAACAATATGATTTGGGGGGCACCTGGGTGGTTCAGTTGGTTAAGCATCCAGCTTTGGCTCAGGTCATGATCTCACGGTTCATGGGATCTCACCGCATCGGGCTCTGTGCTGACAGCTAGCTCAGAGCCTGGAGCCTGTCTTCAGATTCTGTGTCTCCCTCTCTCTCTGACCCTCCCCTGCTCATTCTGTCTCTATCTTTCTCTCAAAAATAAATAAAACATTAAAATTTTTTTAAAAAAAGGCAACAATATGATTTGGGAAATTCAAAAAGTCTGGTAGTGTTGGTGGTAGGCAGGTTTTGAGAAATATTCTAGATAGGTGAGTATTTTTCTTCATGGCCTATTTTGTTTTTGACTCGTCATCCCCATTCTTGGACTTTGACCTTACCATATACCTTCATTAATTTATAGCAACCCTGGGGGTGCCTGGGTGGCTCAGTTGGTTGAATGTCTGACTTCAGGTCAGGTCATGAATGATCTCACAGTTTCTGACAGAGCCTGCTTTGGGTCCTCTGTACCCCTGTCTCTCTGCTCCTTCCCGCTCACTCTCTCTCTCAAAAATAAATAAATAGACATTAAAAAAAAAAAACCTTTATAACAGCCCAGAGAAAAGTACTTATTTTCTCTGTTCTTTTGTTTTCTTATCTATAAGCGAGAACAATGTTAGTGCCTACCTTATAGTACTGTAGTGAGTGGATAACAGTGCCTTTATAGAGGAAGAGATTCCTTTTCTTGTCTGATCTTTAGCTGCTATGAACTACCTCCTTTGCTGACTCCTTCTCTATTTAGTAACTAGTAGTCTTTCACAAAGAGATTATTTTTCTCTCAGAATTAATCCTAATCCTTTCCAGTTCCACTTATGGTACCTTTCTTGCTACTGGGATTTCTAACATGTGGCCTTCTGTATCTCTCTCTTGGGATCCAGTGTTCATTGACAACATTATGGGAGGATGTTAGGAAAATCTCTTTCTCATCTGGTTGCTTTTGAAATTATCTTATTTAAATAATTTTCTTCTTCTGGAAAGGCAATTGGGTTAATGTACTTCAAGTATTCTGTGTATTTCTTTCTAAAAAACAAGCCATCTTTGGGGCGCTTGGGTGGCTCAGTTGGTTAAGCGTCTGACTTCGGCTCAGGTCATGATCTTGCGGTCCGTAGGTTCGAGCCCCGTGTCAGGTTCTGTGCTGACAGCTCAGAGGCTGGAGCCTGCTTTAGAGTCTGTGTCTCCTTCTCTCTCTGCCCCTCCCCCGCTTGCTCTCTGTCTCTGTCTCTCAAAATAAAGACGTTAAAAAAAAATTAAAAAACAGGCCACCTTCAACAAGGGGAAAAACATGTAAAGGTGTTTTAAAAACATGCACATTTTTTGTTCAAAACCTCTTTCTATTTAGAATTTTTTTCTTATTTTTAAATTATGTATATTAAATAGGAAAAAAAATAGATGTTACCAGTGGCCTGTAACATCAGCCTTGAGAAAAGCAGTAGAAGGAGCTAGAACATCTCAGTTGGAATGGCCCCTTGCTCATGTTAGCATTGTCTTGTCTGTAGATAGTGTCCTCCCTGCCCCCCAGCAAATCAGGGGCCCTGGACTTTTCAGCTCATTGAAGACTTCAGGCAGAAGGCAAGAACAAGGATGGTATTGGTATTTCTTAACAGCCCCCCCCCCCCATTTTGTAGAAGATAAAGGCACAATGACATTCTTGGGCCAATCTCAATCTCTTGGTTTTTGAAACTTCTCACTTGTTGTGATACTATATAAAAAAAGTTGGGCTAAAGAGGGGAGGTAATTCCAATTTTGGCTGGTCACTTCATCTTACTTTGATTTCTTTATTAGCTGTTCTAGTTATGATATCCTTAAGACAATGGTAGTTCACAACTTGATGTAAAGCAGAAGTGGGATTGTGGGAATATGGCAAGTGGGGAGCCAAGGAGACATTTCTGGAAGGAAGTAGAGGAATCATTAGTCTCTCTTTCCTTGCTGTACTCAGTGACAAATGCATAGGTGTTGTTTCCTACTACTTATAAACACTTTATTTGACAACAGACCTGGGTTTCAATCTTGCTTTGGTTGCTTACTACCAGTGTGGGCTTGGGCAAGGTATAGCCTCTCTGACCTTCACTTTCCTCTGTATCTTTTAATGGGGCTAACAATACTGACTTCATAAAGTTAGTGAAGGCATTAAATGAAGTAGTAGTACATAAACTGCCCAGTACTTAATACATTCAATACATCTATTCATTCTGTGGCTCAATTCTTCTTGTAGTAGTAGTGCATGCCTCTTTGGCTAGTTAAATGAGTCATAAATACATCCTGTGGGTAGGCTGAAACCATGAACTTTTGACTTGATTTTTTTAAGCCAGTGTGAAAAATTTTAATGATGCCTCCCTGTTTTTCACCCCCTAGTAGTTGCCTCAGTTAGTCTAAAAAGCAACTTTCTAATTTAATGGGTCGTGATTTCGGTTTTAATTCAAATGATTAATTTCCAAACCAAAGGCACACGTAGATGTCATAATTTGTATGATTGTATTAACAATAATGCTAGCATACAACCACTCTCAAAATAACACCAGCATTCTTCACAGAGCTAGAACAAACAGTCCTAAAATTTGTATGGAATCAGAAAAGACTCCAAATAGCCAAAGCAATCCTGACAAAGAAAACGAAAACTGGAGGCAATGCAATTCCCGACTTTAAGCTGTATTACAAAGCTGTAATCATCAAGACAGTATGGTACTGGCACAAAAACAGATACATAGATCAATGGAATAGAATAGAGAACCCAGAAATGGACCCACAAATATAGGGCCATCTGACAAAGCAGGAAAGAATATCCAATGGAAAAAATACAGTCTCTTCAGCAAATGGTGTTGGGAAAACTGGACCACGACATGTAGAAGAATGAACCTGGACCACTTTCTCACAGCACACACAAAAATAAATTCAAAATGGATGAAAGACCTAAAATGTAGGACAGGAAGCCATCAAAACCCTAGAGGAGAAATCAGGCAACAACTTCTCTGACCTCAGCTGCAGCAGCTTCTTATTTAACATGTCTCGGGAGAGAAGGGAAACAAAAGCAGAAATGAACTATTGGAACCTCATCAAGATAAAAAAAAACTTCTGCACAGCGAAGGAAACAATAGAAAAACTAAAAGGCACTTGACTTTCAGATAAAGGGTATATGATATGACATATCAGATAAAGGGTTAATATCCAAAATCTGTAAAGAATTTATCAAACTCAACACCCCCCCCCCAAAAAAAAGAAACTAATCCAGTGAACAGATGGGCAAAAGACATGAATAGACACTTTTTCAAAGAAGACATCCAGATGGCTAACAGACACATGAAAAGATGCTTCACATCGCTCATCATCAGGGAAAATACAAATCAAGACCACAATGAGATACCACCTCACACCCGTCAGAATGGCTAAAATTAACAACTCAGGCAATGACAGATGTTGGTGAGGATGTGGAGAAAGAGGAACCCTTTTGCACTGCTGGTAGGAAGGCAAACTGGTGCAGCCACTCTAGAAAACAATATGGAGGTTCCTCAAAAATTAAAAATAGACTTATTGTTTATTAAAAATAATGACTTAGCAATTGCACTACTAAGTATTTATCCAAGGGATACAGGTGTGCTATTTCAAAGGGGCACATACATCCCAATGTTTATAACAGCACTATTGACAATAGCCAACGTATGGAAGGAGACCAAATGTCCTTTGGCTGATGAGTGCATAAAGAAGATGTGGTATGTATGTGTACACAAACATGTATGTGTTTGTATGTATGTACACATATATGTGTGTATGTACACATATATGTACACATACTGGAATATTACTTGGCTACAAAAAGAATGAAATCTTGCCATTTGCAACAACATGGGTGGAACTAGAGTGTATTATGCGAAGTGAAATAAGTCAGTCAGAGAAAGATATATGATTTCACTCATGTATGGAATTTAAGATACAAAATAGATGAACATAAAGGAAGGGAAGCAAAAATAATATAAAAACAGGGAGACAAACCATAAGGGAATCTTAAAAAATTTTTATAATGTTTATTTTTGAGAGAGAGAGATACAGAACATGGGCAGGTGAGAAGCAGAGAGAGGGAGACACAGAATACGAAGTAGGCTCCAGGCTCTGAGCTGTCAGCACAGAGCCTGACTCGGCTCGAACTCATGGACTGGAGATCATGACTTGAGCCAAAGTTGGATGCTTAACCGACTAAGTCCCTTTTCCATAAGGGACTCTGGAATACAGAGAACAAACTGAGGGTTGCTGGAGGGGTATTGGGTGGGGGGATGGGCTAAATGGGCAAGAGGCTTTAAGGAGGGCACTTGTTCAGATGAGCACTGGTTATTACATGTAAGTGATCAATCACTAAATTCTATTCCTGAAATCATATTACACTGTATGTTAACTAACTTGGATTTAAAATTTTTAAAATAACAATAATATTAACAATTAGAGTTTGTTGGAATCCCTTAGACTAATAGTCATGGGTCTAATTGTGTTCCAAAATAGATTACTTCTAGGGATGTGGCTGTCTTCCTTAGAAATGTTGAAAAGCTCAAACTTCAGTCTCCCTGTGTTAGTCTCTTGCATCTATCATTTACTGGCTGCGTTCCTCAGGCAAATTTCTGGACCTCGGTTTCCTTATCTATTAAGTGGGAATTATAATAGTTCTGACCTCATAGGATTTTTATGAACTAAATGAGTTTACTATATATAAAGTACTTAAAATAGTGCCTGGCCTGCAGTAATTGTTCAGTACTTGATTGCCATTGTGATCTTCTGTTGAATAAAATAGCCTAAAACAATGTAGTCTACTTGACCTGACCATCTTCATTCTACTTGATAGGTTACACACTCTTACACTGTGCTGCAGCCTGGGGTCGTTTGGAAACCTTGAAAGCACTCGTGGAATTGGATGTTGATATACAAGCTCTGAACTTCCGGGAAGAAAGAGCTCGAGATGTTGCTGCCCGGTATTCCCAGACCGAGTGTGTTGAATTCCTGGACTGGGCAGGTAAGGAAGCCCACAAGGTAGTAGTGTAACTGAACCAACGTGAGTTTGTTCCTTGGTGAGTCACAGGTGGAAACTATACCAGGAAAGTTGTTGCACAAAGGAAACTTTATTTGCAGCAAATTAGGAGATCACAGGGAATTAATGTCCAAAGCTGTGACTCCCCAAGCAAGGGTGGATGGGTTCTGTTTATTTAGGGTTGAGATAAATATTTAAGAAGGGGATCCTTGTCATTATTTGTAGAGGTGGACATCAGGATCCCACATGCACCTTAAGGAAACAGGTCTATACATACATTGCGTATTATGTAAATGAGGCTCGTGCCACTCCCTGGGTGGAGATTTTAGTATTATAATGAGGTGAAGGTAGTTGTCGGTCATTTTAGAGGTCACTCTATGGTCCATCTGCACAAGCATGAGTCAAGGGTTATGCTTAAGCTACTCTGCATGGTCTGGGCCTGCTGGCCATCTTTCAGGGCAGTTGCTATGACAGGGGTGGGGGTGGGGGGGTATTTCTGTTTCCATTTGCCTGGGTTGAGACATAAGCTGGAAAGCAGCTTAAGGAAAAATGTGCAACAGGGGTTGGTGAGTACAAGCAGGTGGACAATAAAGGTCAGGTCTTGGGATCTAGCTGATGACAGTAGCAAATAGACTGAGTGATAGATTTTTTTCCCTAGGAGTAAAAGGTTATACCCTCAACAGAGCAAGAGATGATTAGCATTTTCACCTTTTGTCACCATGTTTTATTTGTAGATATAATCACAAGTCACTGGTGGTGATAATGTGTGAAATCTCCCTCTTGTTTCTTTTTTTGTTTGCCATTTTGCTATTGGCCTCCAACATTGTACTTAATAGAAACTGTGCGTATTGAAAGCTAGTTGACTGACTAACATCTAACAATTTTACTAATAATTTCCTATAAGAATATATATATATATATACAGGGTCATTTTCTGAAAGACTTAGGTAGAGTGGACCATTCCTTAACTTTTTTTTTTAATGGCATATTTGAGTCATATATTTGCTTTCCCAGGTAGAAAGTTATAATAACTTAAAATGATTTTCCAGACAAAATCAATCTATAGCGTTAGAAGTTAGAATAGCAGTTACCTGTCTAGCATGAAGGAGACTTCTAGGATGTAGTGTTTTTTTCTTAATCTGGTTGCTAGTTACATGGTGTGTTCATATGTGAACACATTTATAATTTTTGCACTTTTTGGCATGAATGTTACTTCTTCAATCAGATATCAAAAAGCTGTGTGCTATTTTGAATTTTAGTGATATTTTGCTTAATTCGTTTTCACAACCCTGTAAAACATAGCTTAGAGATTTCTAGAGATAATACCTGTGTAAGTACACACACTGGTTAAAAAAACTCAGTACTTGTGAAGTTCATGGCATTTATTTTGCATAGTTATCTGCATTTGTGCTTTCAGCAAGCATTTATTAAATGCCCACTATGAGCATAGCATTGTTGTAGGTACAACTGGTTGTTCCTTTTCTCTGGATGTTTGTTAGGTGGGGGATGATAAGCTATAGACATAAATAACAACATCAGAAAGACTAGGAGTAAGGGTGAAAATCAGCAGAGCAGGTGGTACATGCTATGGGGTTGTCAAAGAACATGAAGTCTGAGCATGTCGGAGTTTTAGAGAATGGGTAGGATTTTATTCCAATAGAAGGAGACAGAGTATGAGCAAAATCTGTAGGCTGGGAATGGAAGTGGCATTTGGGGAAACAGTGATGAGATTGCATTACCAGAATAATAAGTCGTAATTTGCAAAGGTGGGCTATAACACAGGTAGAACTGTAAAAAAATAAGTACATGTGCTTTTGAATCAAATTGCCTGAGTTTAAATACTGGTGTTTCCATTTGAACCTATGTGATCTTGGACAAGGTACGTAAATTCTTTACACTTTAGTTTTCTTTTCCAGTAAAGGGAGCCAATAATAGTTTCTACCTCTTGGGGTTGTTGTGAGGAATGAAATGAGATGATATAAAGCACTTAGCACAAAGCCTGGTGTGTGATCAGCACTTGAAAAATGTAGCTGCTATTGGGGCACCTGGGTGGCTCAGTCAGTTAAGCAACCAACTTTGGCTCAGGTCATGATCTCACTGTTCATGGGTGTGAGTCCTACCTGCTTTGGATTTTGTGTGTTTCTCTGACCCTCCCCTACTTGTGCTCTATCTCTCTCTCTGTCTCAAAAAATAAAAACATTAAAAAAAAAATTTTTTTTAAACGTTGCTGCTATTGTTACAGCCAGATTATACCTTTAAATGTCAGGCTAAGATGTTTTCATTTCATTTCTGTAACTACTGGGAGCCATTGAAAGTTTTTATGTAGAAAAGGAAGATGAAAGTGATATTTAGGAAGATACTTCTGATGGCAATAAGGAACTTACTTATCAGTAAAATGAGAGGGAGAGCTGGGAGAATAGTAATAAAGAATTGAGACAAGGTAGCACATTTGGGAAGAAAAAGATGTTATGCTTTGTGGACTTAAAAAAAGTTTTTATGTCTTTATTTTATTTCGAGAGAGAGAGAGAGACAGAGACAGAGTGTGAGTGGGGGAGGGGCAGAGAGAGGGAGACACAGAATCTGAAGCAGGCTCCAGGCACTGAGCTGTTAGCACAGAGCCTGACACTGGGCTCTAACCCACGGACTGTGAGATCATGACCTGAGCCAAAGTCGGATGCTTAACTGATTGAGCCACCCAGGCGCCCCACTGGATTATATTATAGATCATTGTCTACTTGTGCTAATGTTTTCTAGGGACAATGTTTATGAACACTTTCAATTTCATGGTTAGATCTATAAGTAAAAAGAAAACAAATAGCAAAGAATTTAATTGATTCCCCATGAATAGCTATTGTAGGTGAAATTCATGTTGTATAATTTAAAATCCATTTTTGAAAAATGATCCATGAGTTTTAAAAAAACACAAACCAGGGACAAATTTTACTGTAACTTTTCTGAAAAGAAACAGTTTGGGGTTTTTGAGTGTGAACTTCCATTGTTTTTCTTCTTCCTCATACCAATCTGTTTATTTTGGGTCCTTACATTCTTGGGGGAATTATACCTAATATTTCCTAATAATTAAGATTAAAGAAGACTATAATACTATAAACTTGCATTCTGTTTTCTGATCAGTGATGGAGCTTCATGGGAATGTAGCTATGGAATGCCAGAAACACAAACTACTCAGCAAAACATTTAACATTGTTTGCTTCAGACTTAATGAGAATTTAAACCACTGCTATTTCTTGTTCAAGTGATTAGAGTAGGGGTCACCTGGAGAGGTTTTAGGGGTGGGAGATTTCTTATATGGTCAGATGGACTGGGAAAAAAACCCCACCCCCTGCACTGGGGCTTGAGGCCTCTGCCCAGCCCATCCAAGGATGTCCTCGAAGGCTCTTGGTGTCCTCCCAAGAAAAATTTCAAAGACAGACCAGACACAACCATCAAGGGATGCAAGGAGGAAATTTCATTAACATGAGGGTACATTCTTGAGGAGGCAAGATGGCGGAGAAGTAGGGAGTTCCGTACTTCCCGCCTGCATCTCTCAATCAAGGAAGGGCTGAAGCCAAAGGACTCTGAACCGCAAGAGTCTGGGAGGAAAAGAGATGGAATCCACTAAGAAGATAGCCTCGTAAGTGCATGATTGCAAACTGGGGAATATAAAAATGGGCTGGGACATGGAGGCACAGAGGGGAGGGAGCCCCTTCTGCAGAGAGACAAAGGGAAGAGAAAGAGTGGCTGGGGAATTGTAGAACTGTACCTGGAGAAGAGAACACTCTGCCCCCCTCCCCCCCCCCCCGCCCCCGGCCGGGGATGGAGAGGGATCCTAGGATCCTGTCATCCCATCTCTAACTGCAGGGCTTTTGGAGAGAGATCCTATCTCTAACTGTGGAGCTTTCCTTGGACTGGGTGCCCCAGTCCCAGAAATTCCCTCTGGGATAGAAGGTATGCAAGGGATGCAGTCGTCATCAGGAGGAACCAGTCCCCTGCTCAGTCCCCGACTTGGACCCCTGCTAGGAAGTGCCCTGGCTTGCCGGATTACATTTTGGGTGGTATCATTAATGCAGAGTAAGAGCTTGAAACGTGGCTGGGTGTGGGACATAGAACACAGCCCACCTTGGCTGTGCCCATGGCACAGTGAGATTGGACCCAAAGGAGTGATTTGGAACACCTGATTTGAGAAGGGACTGGGGGTTGCCATTTTTCTCCCCAAACCCACCAAGGCGGGGCCTCAGGGAACAGCCCTGGGGAACCCACAGTGGAGGTGAGACCCGCCTACACCAAACCACGCCCATCTGTGCTGGGGTGCTGCTTTTGTTACCAGAGACTATAGAGGCTGCGGAAACAGCCCCTCCCCCAAGACCCGCACTGATGCATTGCCGTGATTAACTCTAGATCAATTCTTGTTATTCAGGTATATTCTTCCTTATCTCATTCTTATCTCTCCCCTCCTCTGGACTGGTTATTCTGGTTATAGGTTTGCTTTAACAGGCATATTTAATCCATTCTCTTGATGGATGTTCTACACCTCCTTCGTTACCTTCCTTTTCTCTCTCTGAAATAATCAGACTATATAGTTTCTCTGGGTAACATTATCTTTGTTTCCTTTCTCCTTATCTCCCATATTCTCCTTTTTCTCTTTCTGAATTAATCTTTTTAGTCTCTCTTCCTGGTCAGTGTTCAATTTCTCTTTCTCCCCACCCCTGTAATTTCTCTCATTGTATATGCTCTTCCATCAACAGTGCCTCCACCCTGCTCTTTATCTATAGATGGGATTTCTGGTTTTATGCTTTTTGTGCCCCCCCCTTGCTTGCTTGATTTGTTTGTGAGTTTGCATGCTTTTGTTCCCTGTTTGTCTGTCTCTTTTCCTTTCCAAGGCTACCTCAAGAAACAAACCAACTACACATGATGGGGAGTCCCACATATTACTACGAGTAGGGAAATAAAATAACCAAAGTCACAACAAAAGAGACCAAGGGACACCA